AGAGGACTAAGGTTTCAAAGAACTTTGGGGGGAAAAACTCTACTGGTTTCCTTCTTTTTCCTTTTTCTTTTTGACCGATCATTGTTAGCTAGGGGGGTTAGAGCATGCCACACTACTTTTCCTGACAACACACAAAGGGGTAAGGACCTCCATGCATGAGGTGACAAGCTAAGGGTATGGTCCAAAGTGCCATAGGTAGTACCCCCCCTTTTCACCAATTTATTTATTTTCTTAAGAAAACCACACTAGCATATACATATTAATAATATATATATACATATATATATATAAGTATATATATATACATAAAATATTCAAGAATAAGAGAAAATAATAGAATACCTCGTAGCGGAACGAAAGAGAATTTCAGGGTGTTACAGTAAGTGCTTACCAGGTAAGTGTTTGGTAAACGGCCCATAAGTTTGAAAATATTGCGGTTTTGCCTACGGACTATAATTAGTAAAATTTTGAGCTTCAACAATTGAATTAATAAAAAAAGTTTGTTTATTAGAGTTTTGTCAATTAAGTAATTTAATTTCTATTTTACTTAATGTATTAATTTAAATTATATTTAGTTAATATATTAACTTAATTTAGAAATCTAGATTATTTTAATAATTACTCTTAAGGAGAGGGTGTTTATAAATAAATCATTTAATTATTTAGATGGTTTTAATAATGAAATTTAATTGTCGTATTTGAGTTAAATAATTATTGGGACGCTTTAATTTGAAGAGATGAATTTATAAAGTTATAAGAAGAGTAATTTGATGTTTTGGAGCGTCATTGAGTTATAGACTTGGGGTTTGATTAAAGTTGGGGTTGACCGAGTTGATTAAGGGTTGACTTTTAACTCGTTTGACTCATGTGGATTTTAATGATGGGGCCAAATTGAGTTATTTGAGGTATATTATGATGCTTGGATATGGAAGTTTGACTTTAGGTCGGGTCAAATTGACCATAGCTGGCTGTTGGAGAAATTAAGTTATTAATTAGGCATGGTGGTATGAAATGTGTAGGTTTTGGATGAGAGCTATTACTAGGTGATCTACAAACAATCAGGTGAGTCTTTATGAAACTTACAATGAGATACATACATATGTACATAGTTATTTATATCATGTTATGGTTGTGTGGTGGTGAATGTTATGCATGATATTGATTTAAATACATGACATCAGTTATATGTTTGCATGTGTATGAAGCTTTTTAGAGCACACATATTAATTTTTCCCCGGATTTTAAACATATTTAGCATGTTTAAGGGCTTGTTTGTTTTAAAAAAAAGCTCTTAATACCTCTTAAGTCTGAATCGGTCAGATGTTTTTATTTTCAGACCATTTGATTTTTTTTTGAAAATAAGAGCTGAAAAACTCTTATTGTCCTCTGAATTTTTAAGTGGTAGTCTAAACTCTTAATGGGCTCTTATTCACACACCATATCGATCTCTCGTTCTCTCGCTTGATTTCCAGCTACCAAATCATACCGATCTATCCCACATCATACGATCTAGACACCATATCGATCTCTCGCTCGGTCTCAAGCTACTGATCTATCCAAAACGATCTCTACAAATAGATCTCTCCTATATATGAGTTATTTTTTGAGTATGATCAAACCAATGAGCAAAGGATGATAGAGGACACAATTAATGCAATATGAATATTGGTTCTAGTCGTTATGAGACTTTGTTCGTGTTTATATTGATTCAAAATTCAGACTTCAGACGTAAAAACAAACAGTCTGACTGATTCAGATTTCAGACTTCAGCACCACCTCTTATAAATCAGAAGTGAAATCAGAATTCAGACTTCAGCACCTCTTAAAAAACAAACACCACCTAAGTTTTAGGTTGGCTTAAATTGTACAAGTGGTACATATGAGTATTGAATGTCAGTTTAGGTTGTCACATTTAAGGAAGCACGACCTGTGTATATGGTACACACTGGGGAATGCCTATGACATGGCAGCACGACCTCGTAACAGATAAAGTGGCTATAGGTGAGTCGTACGTACAAGAGAAATAAATATTGAATATTTTTTTTTATTTAATCTTATATTATTAAATGTAATAAATATGTATGAATTATTTTTAGAACTTACATTTTCTACCCTTATGGTTATTTATTTAATGTATTTTTAATTTTGTTTTTCATTTTACACAATTACTGTATTAACACACATAATCTTAACTACGAAGGTATAAAATATAAGTACTAAAAATAATTCGTAGGGTTTATAATACTTAATAATATAAGATTAAATTCAAAAATATTCAACATTGGACTTTTTTGAACGTATTGACGAGTGGATTATAATGGTGTAATTTGTAAAAAAAACATATTTTAGTTAATATACGATTATATGTGTTGATATAATAAATATGTAAAATAAAAAATAAAAAATAAGATATACGAAGTAAATTAAATAACTAATTATAAGAATGTAAGATAATTTTTTTTTTACTTAATTGAAACTTTACGCATAAACAAGTTTATGTATAAACTTTGGCTAGATTAAACTTTAAGCAAGAAAAAAGTCATTAAACTTATGTGGTGTTAAACCAGAGTTTTATAAAAAATGTTTGTATTAGCTTATGGTGGTACCAAAACGTAATAAGTTGATAACTCGGATTTTCGTGTTTGACAAATTTTGCTTATACATGTAAAATGACAAAAAAGTACATACATATGATACCAAGTTAATTCTAATTTGGATTCCCTTTGCAAACTTTTAAAATGGAGGAACAGTTACATGAAACATATGCATCCATCTCTGACCTGAAAGAAACCCTAAATCTGCCATGGCCATACAATGAACAATTCAGGTTGAGGATTACCAGCTATGTTGCTACTGCAGCATAGGAGCAAGAGCAAGGAGATGATGAACTTCCGAATTTGGAGGAGAATAAAGAAAACGATGAACTGGGAGAGGAAGATCTTGACGAGGACGAAGAAGAAGAAAACGAGGAAGTAGGAGGAAGAGGAAGGTCTCGATATCTGTTTGATCGAAATGGTCCATACGTGAGATAGAAGGCGTGTGAATTTGATCAGAAGTTTATTAGGTTTAGGAAAAGAAAAGGGTAAAAAGGTAAATTGGTTTCAACACCGAATAAGTTTGAATCTGATAAATTTAAAATAACTTATCAGAAACTTTTTATTACCAGTTTGGTACCGGTATAAGCATTCTTTTCCTCATCCAAATACTAAAAACTATTTATTACTGGTAACATATCAAAATAAGTTATGGTGTGTTTGGGATTGCTTATTTAAAACAACTTATGCTTTTTTTGTAAAAGTGCTTATTAACTTATGTGGTATTAAATCGGAGTTTTGTAAAAAGTGTTTAGATTAGCTTATAGCGGTACCAAAAAGCAATAAGCTGATAAGTTGTTTTTTTGTGTTTGACAAATTTTGTTTATATATGTAAAATGACAAAAAAAAAACAGTCTTTCATATAATAATATTTTTTGATTGTTAACTTATTTGATTTTTAAACATGTAAAAATTTATTTTTCATCATTTATAATAATATTTTTGACAAAAATTTATATCAATAAGATTAATAATTAACAAACATTAATAAAATAAGGTTAAAATGACAAATTGGTAATAAGCAGTTTTTTATAAGTAAAAAAAGATTAACTTATCAAAAACTACTTATTATCGTTTTGGTACCGGTATAAACGGTTTAAATAAAGAATCTCAAACAACCCCTAAAATTTAGGGGTAAAAAGTGAAAATTAATTTTGTAAAATCGATTGCTGAGGAAAAGGGTTTCTCTCTCATCTCTCGCTCCGTCACAGCCGCTCTCCACAGCGATCTCTCACAGCTCTCGATTTCTCGCAGCAATCGATCTCCAAATCGCTCGATCTCTCACAGCTCTCAATCTCCAGATCTTCTCTCAAGGTATCGATCTCTCACCTCCGAAATTTTCTACTGTTTCTTTTCTTTCATCTCTCATCTCTCACAGCTCTCCATCTCACACCTCTCAAGATCTCCAGATCTCAACCTCTCAAGGTATCAATCTTCCTTTTCCAAGACATATCTTTATTTTACTTGAGATTTAATTACTGGCTTTGGTTTTGAATATCTATTTTTCCTACTAATTTGCATATAATTGATAATTTGAACTGGGTTCTTGTTAACTTCGATTATCGTTCATCTTTGATGTGTTTAGTTTTATTCTTTTGGTTAAAGTGATACCTATTAAAATTGATGTCAAACTTGGTACTTTGAACTGTAAAATTGATCAGGTTATTAGCTGCAAATTTTACACCGAGTTATAAATTTTTTGCATCATAGACTTTAGAACTTGAATCAATTCTACATTCCCAGACTTTAAAGTTCCTTTGGCTCATATCCCATTAATTGGAAAAAAGAAACTATACTGACTTTGTAACCATGAATCTCTTCCACTCGAACGGATAAAGTCAGATTATCCCTTAATTCTTTATGGAAATTAAAATGTTCACCGTATCTTGGTTTAATGAAGGAAAGTGCTGTGCTATAACTTTTCTTTATTGTTTGTCTGTGCTACAACCTTTCTTTGTTGTTTGTCTAATGAAAGAAATTGTATTAATTTTCTGATTTGCATTCTTAAGATCATGCAAGAACTATAGTTCAATTTGCATTCTTTAAAGAATGCAAATCAGAAAATTAGTACAATTTCTTTCGATAGACAAACATCAAAGAAAGGTTGTAGCACAGACAAATAATAAAGAAAGGTTGTAGCACAGCACTTCCCTTCATGTTTTTTTGGTTTAATGAAGAAGCAAAAAGGGGAGAGTTCAGGCAATCGATGGGAAATTTAGTCTGATGATTATTTCATTCCCTTTACAGATTCCTTTGTAGTATTTGGAAGAATCATTTAAGATGGAAATTGATTCAGAGTCGAACGTAAAAGTATCAGAGGAAGCTGCATCATCTATGCAAGTAGAATCTGCAAGTTCACCTGGAATCAAAGTAAAAGCATCAACCCACCTTTAGTTTTAATTATTTTTCAATGTGTTTATTTAACTTTCTCTAACTATTTATAGGTGATTTATTGGTTTTTAAATATGTTGCTACTTGCTAGTCAACTGGTGAAGTGAAAGATGATATTGCGAAGTCCATGGAGAAGCTGCAGATAGACCAGTCTTCCTCTGGGACAACTAATTTCAAGAGGAAACCAGTTATTATCATTGTTGTAGGAATGGCAGGTATCATGTTACTTGAGCCTTTTACCACAGGATTTTTAATTTTTGTTGCAACCTTTTCCTGTGCAATCAACATTTCTAGTATGTGAAACTGACCTTTTGCTGATTGAGAAAAAAATTCAAGAATATTTTGTAGATTTCTACATGGAGAAGTTCTTTTGATACTTGTGGAATTTATGAACTTATGATTAAGGGTGCAACCACAAATGTCCTATCCCACCAAGAATAACTTCAAAGTTTGATTGGTTATATAGTGTAATAGATTAGAGGTTTTTAAGTATAAGTCATATGTCTAAAATACCCCTAAAAATGATGATATACAGCAATGTCGTGGGACAAAATAATTTCTATCTATATATTTTAGTGATTACTAATGGGTAAAATTTGAAATTTCCTGGTTGGAACTTTGGTAGAAAATTTGTTGCATTTATTGTCCCGGAAGAATTTTTCACACCTTTATTCCCCTTGGTTATAAATTACTGAGGAGTCTGTCTTGTATTACTCAGGAAGTGGCAAAACAACATTCCTTCATCGAACTGTTTGTCATACGCAAGCTTCCAACACAAGGGGTTATGTAATGAATCTTGATCCTGCTGTTATGACTCTCCCTTTTGGTGCCAATATTGACATAAGAGACACTGTTCGTTACAAGGAAGTCATGAAACAGTTCAATCTTGGACCCAATGGAGGGATATTGACTTCTCTAAACTTGTTTGCCACAAAATTTGACGAGGTAATGATGATTTTTAATGTGCTCATGACATGAATGCCTCATAGGTTGCAAAATTTTGGTTCATTTTAATGCATTTATATGGATTCTTCAAATACAATCTAACATTTTTCTGATGTTAGGTGATAGAAGTAATTGAGAGGCGAGCAGATGAACTTGATTATGTTCTTGTGGACACCCCTGGCCAGATTGAGATCTTCACTTGGTCTGCTTCTGGAGCAATTATCACTGAAGCTTTTGCTTCAACTTTTCCAACTGTGATTGCGTATGTTGTTGATACACCTCGTGCAGAGAGTCCAAATACTTTTATGAGCAACATGCTTTATGCTTGTAGCATTCTTTACAAGACCCGTTTGCCATTGGTTCTGGTATTCAATAAGACGGATGTAGCCCAACATCAATTTGCTTTGGAGGTGAAATACTCTACTAAAACCATTCTCATTTTAATGTGTGTTTTTGCTTTTTAGGTAGCGATACTGATACAGCTGAAAGAAACGATCATATATTAGCCAAATGTCATTTGATGCATTCGTATGGAAGACATGGAAATCAAAATCGATCCTTGCTAATGAATTTGAGTATAACTCAAGATTTTAAACGTAATTTTCTTTTCTGTTATTTCACTAGTGGATGGAAGACTTCGAGGTGTTTCATGCTGCGCTAGATTCAGACAACTCTTACCCATCAACTCTTACTCGAAGTCTTTCTCTTGCTTTGGAGGAATTTTATAAGAATTTGAGGGCTGTTGGCGTTTCAGCAGTATCTGGTGCTGGGATGGATGCTTTCTTTAAAGCTATTGAAGCAAGCGCGGATGAGTACATGGAAACTTACAAGTATTGCCCGACTCTCCATATTGTCTCTCACACACACAAACGATTGATTTTCTCTGGATTTTATACGTATATTTGCATTGCAATCGTTGATCATCCACATGCACATATCTGCCTTTTCTTATTTGTGGCAATATGAAGTTGTATTTTTAAATGGGTAGTCCTGCACCATGAGTCTCACATTCTTATAGGTCTCAAAACATACATGCTGACATTGTGATGAACGTATCCTGTTTCTGAGACAGACTCCGTTCTATAGGTCATAAATGCATCTTTGCTTATTTTTCCACACAATCTGAATGGGACCCATATGATGTAAATGCTAAATGGAAAAATGTATAGGACCTGAACACCCAAAGAAAGACAAAATATTTCGACAAAAGGCACTTATCCGTGTGTAAATGCATGTGTTAAGTGTATTCTGGGTGCTTGTCTAGAGCAAAATTCTTCTTCCAAATGTGTCATTTGGATGATATGCTTACTAGTTATTTTTGCAGCACTGGCTTCTGGCTTTCAAACACTTAATACATTATATGTTAGACTCAAATCTGGAAAAAGTTGGGATGATATGATTATTTGTGCTAGTCTTCTTGTCCTTGTCTTTTTCTTTCCGCTCACACTTTTGCACAAGCTAAACAGCTGCTTCACTTTTTGAGGTAGAGGACATGACCGCACACATCCCACCCGTCCCATACTCTGCTTTCGAGTGGGATATAATGGGTTTTCTTAGTTTTATATTTTGCAGCACTGGCTTTGGCTTTCAAACACTCCAAAAAATTGCATGTACACTTAAATCTGGAAAAAGCATGTGATTCCTTCAGATTATAACTTAACCTATAAACGAGTTATAATAACCACCACTAATTTGATTTGTACCATAATTTATTGCATGTGTTCTTTAGAGAGATTCTAAAAGAAAAATGAAAAACAGGAAGCAAAACCGCAGTTTACTTATCCAGTTTTAGTAGTTTAAGTCTGTAAATTTGTGATTCCTCAATATCTTATTGCTATTTAATGATAAAAAAACAACATCCGTCATAGGAGATGTCATGCAGATTGCAAAAGATTCGGTAAATTAAAGGAAAAAAAAACCCTGAAAAATAGATGTTTGATTACAAATGGTGAAGTTTGAATGAATGGTCATGTTTGTTTCATAATAGAATATGAATTTGATGGAGGATTTTAAAATATATTGTGGTTTTGTAATTGTGTAGAGCTGATCTCGATAAGAGACGAGCAGAGAAGGAACGATTAGAGGAAGAACGCAGGAAAGAAAACATGGAAAAACTGAGGAAGGATATGGAGAAATCCGGGGGTGGAACCGTCGTACTCAGTACTGGCTTAAAAGACAATAACGATAAAGATAATACGAGCAGGATGGAGGAGGAAGATGAGGAAGAAGATGAGGATGAAGATGAAGTTGAAATGTATAGCGATGATGATGATGATGATGAAGATGATGATGAAGATGAAGAGATTGCAAGTTTTAAATTCTAAATGTAAATGCTTAGCAAAAACTGTAATGAATTCATGATGGGTTGGATGTTTATTGTATGGAATTGGTGGTGGTGGTGGTGGTGGTGAAATGCGCCAAGTTTTGTAATCATATGACGGACGCATTTGATTCAATTAGAGAAAAAGAGACGGTTTGGATCTGCTACTGTTACTAATTCATGTTCTGTATAATATCACTTAACTGTTTGCAAGTTGGATTTTTAAAAGGATATCTGGATAAAAAGTTAGACTATTGGTAACTCCACTTAGGGGTGTTCAAAACCCCGATCAACCTAACGTGAAATAATTCAATCCGATGTCTAATTGAGTTGTAAAATTTTAAAATCGTAGGTATTGGGTTACTATTATTTAAATTTAACTCGATGAACCCGATATCCTTCTATTTGATGGATTTAATATGATTGTTGAAATTTTATTAATATATACATTAGACAATTACATTATCACGTTGGGTTGAGATTTTCAACTCATTTAAATAAATGGGTCAACCCGTCTAACCCATTTAAATAAATGGGTTGGGTTAGGTTGATTTTTTTGATCTGTTTTCAACTCGTTTTCAACCCACTTAAAATATTATATAAATTTATTTTATTCTTAATATTATATCTATTATATTTATTTTTTATTTTTTATTTTGTTTCTTCTTAAATAAATTGGCTTAAGTTTCAATATCACAACTCACGAGTTAAACGACGCTTCGCTTTTCAATCCTTAATACAATATCAGTAATTCAGTATTATGAGTCTCACGTCTTCAATGCTTCATTTTCTTCAGTCGATTTTATCAATTTTCGTCCCTTATTTTGAGTTCTACCTTATCCAATCAAAGATTTCGGTTGGTTTCGGTTTTCGATTTGAGGTTGAGGCGTTGAGGCTTGAGCGATAGCAAAGTCATTCACCATTGCGGAGCTAAAATAAAGGATCTTCCGACTTCTGCTTATATTTTGTTGATAGAATCAAACAGTTCCTAACTTGTAATTTAATTTATACGTAGTACAAAAGGAATCACATCTTGAGGCGCTATGTATAGCAATTATGACAGAGAAGATAGAAGATCAAGAAGTAATACCGAGAGTGAAATTGGGGTTGATGAAAGTGGAAGGCAAGTTACTTAGAATTTAAAAAAAATCAACTTATTTTGAACAATATATTTGTTGTTGGATTGAGATTTTCAACTCATTTAACCCAACCCAACCCGACCCGACCCATTGCAATCCCATAAACTAATCAAATTGGTAAATGGAACTGTCGTATGTCAACATCAAATTTTATTATCAATATCAAGGGACTAATCATGAAATTTTTCATACCTGATGGTGGTCAAGTGTCATTTTTATAACCCGAAGGGGGCACTTCAACCACATTCAAAACAGAAACTATCAACTTCGCAATGCTCTTTCACAATTGCAAAGCTGGGTTATACATATACATGATGTAGTACAAACGGTAATGCATCATTTACAACCGCAAGCATCAAAGCTCGGAAACTGGATGAACTTGATGGTCAAAGGAGCGATGCAAATCGGAGAACTAACATCCACCATTGCAGGTTTCAAATCTGGGATGTCTCCGGTTTCTGTAAGTTGTAATGGAACTCCGTTTAAAAGCATCGTTTTACTTCTGATATTGCCGTCTTGTGGGGTCAGGTGGTACTCCTCTCGGGGTAGTTTTTCATCGGTTGACTTTGACCCGACCCACGAAAACATTGACTTTAGCCGATGAGTGAAAGATCCGTTGTTGGGTTTTGTTGTAGGCAAATTCAGATTCAAGATGTTGTGAACTTTGAGCTGGAACTCTGTTTGGTTGCTTAGATTAATCAGAAGCAATGTTATGCCTGCCTGCAACAAGATAATATATATGATATCAGTAACGAATACTTCATTGTCGACAAGTTTTCACGCTAAAAGTACCTATTTACCTGTGTTCATCATCGTATAGGGCTGGTTATCTATATTACGAAACGTCGAAACATGTACCCATGTATATATAAGGGCATGATCAAATAAGAACCACAAAAAAGTCGATAACTGTGGGAACTACTGATCACGTGATGTTTCCCATAGAGAAAAATTGCATGTGAATGTACAGTGTTAGTTTCACAATGTGAAACAAAAACACATTTTCACATGCATTGTTTAACATTGTGAAACAACACATGAAAATTGGTTCCCATGGTTCTCAACCTTTTTGTGGTTCTCATTTGGCTATGTCCCTGTACTCATTTGACAAAAACGTATTTTCACATGCCACATACTCATTTGATCGGTATCTCTTTAGGTAGTCTTAGAGCACATCCAACTATTCTCCAAAATGGAGAATCAAAACCCAAAATCTCCAAAAAAAATTACATTCATCTCCGGCAGCTTCTCCATTTTGGAGATTACAACATTGATTATATTATTAAAATATTACATACATTTAATAAAATACTATTTCTCTCTCCTAAACATTTAATTTCAAGGTTTCTCATTGGTGGGGATATAATAAAAAATATTTCTCACATGGTAATCATTTATGGGGAGTTCTCCAAATTCGAAGAATTTCATACTCTCTTTCCTACTTTTTTCATTTTGAAGAATCTGTTGGAGCAAAAATTTGCCCAAAATCTCCATTTTGGAGAATCTGGTGGGAGATGCTCCTAGACCATGCACCCTTCTCATATTAGAAAGATTTCCCTTACCATCACCAATTTGCCTTTCCTGAATTAGAAAGATTGCCTTTCAACATCTACTGTCCCAGTTATCAACTCTTAAGCTCCCAAAATAGAAAAGCTGCCCCTTCCACACTTACTGTCCTTGTTTTCTAGCTCTTATCTTATATCGCGTCACCTTTCCTATATTAGAAAGATTTCATACCTTTCTCTGCTATGCAAGCTTCCCATAAATAGAAATTTTCCCATTCCACCATTACAAGTTCATTTTAGTGATATACTGCTGATGCAGCCACTATGTCACAACTACTAGCCCACCACCATCTTTAAAAGGGCATATATAAAACTAGGAAGGGAACATAACATCATCCCTACTGGGGCAGATGACAGGTCTGCATACATCCAGCCCTACTTTCGAGTGAGATATATTGGGTTCGTTTGGTTTATAACATCATCCCTAGCATCTCAAATAGGTAAAACAAACTAAACAAATCAGAAACACAAATGTAACTTACTTTCCCTTTTGAACAATGGGCATAAGAGCGCAAATGTGGCCCGGCATTTATCCTTTCTACAACAAGAACCCCTGTTCCCATAAGCCGATGCCATAGAAGTGCACTGCATAATGTGGTCATTCGATGGAACAAGTTAGTCATCTTTTAACAAAGTTTTAAGAAACGGAAGTGTAAAAAATTTAAAAGGTGGAAGTGAATAACCTGTAATAATCAGGGTTAGGCACAAATGTTGTTTTATTGAGAAGACCATAATTTCCACCAATTAAACTTTGGCGGCAATATACTTCCGTGTGGTACTTAGCTGCCATTGCAAGCTGATCCAAGTACCTATACATATTCCAAGCATAAATGAAATCAGAACAAGAACGATACTTTCCTTGTTCCCTTTAAAAAAAAATTGGTAACTGTGGGTATCTGGGTCAGCTTGTTTGCAGACAACATCCAGAAAAATCCCTAGTGGCCTTTAGAAGACTCGAACTGGTGACCTATAAAAAGGATCCCCAAGGCCTGGCTGTTATTTGCCAGTTGAGCTGGCACTCCAAAAAACTTGCAGTTTGACATGTAGCTCAAGATTGAAATAAATCATTTGAATCGACTACACTAAATTTTACAACAGATGTCTTGAAAATGCAACAGATGATTACCAGAAGCTATTTACAAACGTGTCTGAAACATGAAGACCACCACTGTTGTATGCACCACCAGATTCTCCGATCCAAGAAGATGCCCATGGTCCATTTCTTTGAATGGTTTGCCGGAGATCACCAAACGTGATGGAAGCCCTACTCAAGAAATGGGGATCCAAAATATTTTTCACTAAATTCGGATCAACGCCTGCAAAAAAACTCAGATCGTGATCTTCCAACAAAATTTGGTATTGGAAACTTAGGATCTCTGGGGTGTGTTAATAGCAATTTGTTTTGGTTATTTAACATTTTCATTTTGGAAAATGAAAATGTGATTGGTGGTCCATTACCTAATGTGGGAAAATATAATAATGGGACATACAAAAAGGAGAAAGAAGAACAAAGAAAAATGACACAAAAAATTGGTAAGAAATTTTCTACAGTTTTAAGTTAAATCCAACTAATTAGTATAAATTTAAGAGCACAAACCTGGGCCCAGATTATACATATGGAGTGTCATTACATCAACAATTTCTGAACCCGAAACCTTAAGAAGTTTTGCAAACCACTGTTTGTCGAAGAACCCTCCTGGTGCTACAAGCAACGGTTTTGGCTGGAATTCCTGGTACAAACTGTCAATTACACCCCTGAGTTCAATTACATCATACGCATACTGCTCAGCATGAACCATGGCACCAATGCCCTTGCCACTCAACTCATTACCTACACCAATAAATGCAAGGAGTAATGTGAACGAATGTATCATGTATAAGAAAAATCTTGATGGATTTGAAGCAAATGAACTAATTAATTGCCTACAAAACAATACCAAATTCCCATGAATCTATCTGATACCCCTTGGAAATAGTATACTTCATAAAATCACGGGCATTGCTGGAATTCCAGTTTCCTCCCCAAACTCCCTTCTTAAGCTGGTGTCTTCCATGGAGCGCATTCAAGCCGAAGGTCACAAGTGCTCTACAAAGAACAAGTTCAGTTTCAATTATGTAGAATTTATATATTTGAAGTATTCTTTTGAATATTAGAAGGAATGAGTAAGCATCAATATTCCATTAAGCCTAGGCATTAAGTGTCCCCTTACCCTGATTAGTTACGGTAACTTAATTGGCAGCCTAGGCTTAAGCCTCCACCCGCTTTGATCAGCAACTAATTTGCTGAAGTTCTCTCAACTAAAAGGTAATATTTCAAATCCTTTTCATGCATTACCAATGGAACTAGTCATTTAGAGAAGTAATTGTAAATAATGTACAATTTGATTTTTGGTTCTTCTGTATACATAATCGTAGCTTATATATTTAAATGAACCAATTATTCGTCCGTTTAATCCCCACTTAGATGATTAAGTGTTAGAAGATCGCTCAACCATCTAGCTCCACTTAAAGCTTTCTAGGTCAATTTAAGCATAAATTCTACAAAGTAGAGATCTGTCAAGAGGCCAAGATGGCCATTAGGAATAGTTAGTACATATTGGTAGAGTGGCATATACCAAAAAAGTTAACCTTGTTTAGAGTGCACTAAAGGACAACCTAGAACCTAGGGTTCAACTTTTTATGCCTGCTTTAAGATTTCAATGTTTCAACCACAAGGGTGGTGCTGATTGGTTTGAGCTTGGGCTCCAAAGGTCAAAAGTGTCTGGAGGTCCCAAGTTCAAATCCAAGGAGGAATAAAAATCCCCTTGTGGCCACGAAGGTTCAAATGCGGTGACTCCGGGCTACCCGCAAAGCAGGTGGTCGTCCTGGGATTAGTGGCTCGCATAGCGGGTTGGATGTCCAGATTAATAAAAAAAAGATTTCAACGTTTCATGGTTTATTTTTTTTCTTTTTTTTCTCATTTTAGCCCATTCCAACTAGTTTGGGGTAAACCTTTGAGGCAAGCTCAAATAAAGGCTAGGCCTTGGGGCTCCTCCCCATGGGTCGGCCGTTGAGTTTCCTCAGGGCCACATAAAATTTTCCTAGTTATTATCTTCAGGGCCCAATGGGACTAGTCGAGGCGCATACGGTTACCCAAAAAACTAGCTTGGGTTAAAAGGCTTAGTAGTCTTGAAATGAGGTACAGTTTGATGGATTTAATTAACAGAAAAAACCAGTATTCAATATCATATGAAATCAAAAGCCAAAATCTCACCTTGTCTTGACAAAAAAACGATTCAATTCATCCCACCTATCCATACAAAGACAACCCCTAGAGAATCCAAACAATTCCCCCTTCATTCTTATAAAGGGATGACAAGGACCCGAGAAATCCCCCACATTATACACCACTTGGTCTTGCAAGGAACCTCCTACACGTATTCTGAGACGTTCAAAAGCTGTTTAAGTCATCAATAAAACAGTTAAACAGGTGAGCAAATTAAAACACTTGATAAAAAGTTTTTAAATCTTTAACTCAAGAAAACAAACCTTGGACTGCTTTGGCAAGAATAGGATGAGATAAATCCTGAAACGATGATAAATAAAAGAATTAATTTTCTATACAGTTTAGATGAAAATACTATCAATCTGGAAAAGTCTGCATTGTGCCTACCAGATTTAAAGCCGATGATGACCCCCATGGGCAATGGTTGTAGTTACATTTTTCATCAGGCCACCAATCAATAGTAGCACAAATATAATTTGCATCCGTGTGAGCCAATGGTAAAGTTGCATTAATTACAAGTTCCGACTCTTGAACATATTGTGCAAAAATCGCAGAAATTGATGCCAGAAATAAGAACAATGAGACGCAAAACTCCATTGATGGATCAACTAAAAATCTTGACCTGTAGCTCAGCCTGGTTAGAATTAAGAGAGAAGAAAAAGAGAATGAAGTGCTTGTTTTTCCACTGTGTTCTCGAATTTAAAAGAAATGAAGGAAAAGAAAGGGAGGGAAAAAAGAAAAGGAAAATAATTTTTTTGTTTCTGTTCTCAAAAGGGAAAGGAAGGAAAAGAAAGAAATAAAACTTTCATTTTCTTAAACAGTAGAGGAAGGAAAGGAAAGATGTCATTTTTACTAAATGTACCCTTTAAAAATATATCCTTTAGATTAAAAGATTGGGGAGTTTTGCACTTTTAATATTTTTTTAAATGGTTTTAATTTTTTTTCCTTTCCTTTCCTTACCTTTCGTCCCACATTTGGGAGAAAAGTTTTGGGAGGAAACTTGTCATTATTTTCCTTCCTTTCGTTTCTCTCCTAAAAAATTTCAAGAACACAAGTTCTTTTTCCTTTCCTTTCCTTTCCTTCGTAAATAAGGTTCCATAGAACACAGCATAAGGGATCAAAGCAGTAAATCACATATAGCTCCTTCAGAAAGATGAATAAGGTAGATCAATAGCTTATAGTACCAAAATGCATTCTTGTACAAATACATGATTAAAAGTGCTCTAAAAATCCTCGCACAGGACTGTTTGAGTTGCCATCTTCGCATTATGCGTTCTGAATCCCTTCACTTAATTAAGGCTGCTTAATCTGCCACATACGGCTTACTCTTACCAACCACTCCAATTAACAATTCATTACTGAATTAAGCAGGAACAAATGGACTTCCTTGAGTCCTACAGCTTGTATTCATTAATCATTCGTTACTTCAAGGCAATCTTCCAATGATTTTTGAATACTTTTATTGCAACTAGTCAATAAAAAAAAGTATGTACATCAAAATATTAATTCTCTCATGTTCATATTGTTAAAAATACTTACACTTCACGCATTAGAGTAAACCGTTTATGAGTCTGCTTAAACGCAGTTAAGTGCCAGTATAATAAACCCACACACATAACAATAGCAAGGGCTTGTCCATAGATTACTCATAAGCAGAACTCCCTTTCGTTGTAAGCAATTTTTCTTTCCATTTTTTGAAACATTATATATGGCTTTTGCTTCAACCAAATTATGTTCCTTGTAATAATGCAAAAGAAATACCACACCTCACAAAAATGAAGAATTTTTGACATTAACCTGATATCCAACCCGCTATGCAAGCAACTAATCATAGGGGAACCACCTGCTTTGCAGATAGCCCGGAGTCACCGCATTTAAACCTCCGTGACCACAAGAGGATTTTTATTCCTCCTCGGATTTGAACCGGGACCTCCTTATACTTTTGACCTTTGAAGTCAAGCTCAAACCAATCAGGCACCACCCTTGTAGTTCAGGTGGACATCTTTGCAGAATGAAGGGAGGTTCGACTACAAATACCACTAGTTTTGGTGGCGTTGACCCTTTTTGCAGAACTGTCAAGTAGAATGGTATTTTTCCTTTACATTCTGTAATTTAACCAAAATTGTTCTTGTTTTGTAGACACATTCTTCTTGGCATTTTCACAAGCAGATGGAATGAAAGGTAAAAAGACGATCACTCCAGCAGAAATCACAAGAGTAAAAACCACGCAATCAAAAGCATAATTCTTAACTTAAACAAAACATTCACTAAATTCCATGAATCAGATCCGGAAGCATCGATCAATTGTATATACGTAACAACCATCAAAATGAGATTCTGCTAGACTTATAAGAAGAACAGGATAACCCACATATTTCACCTGCTGCAAATAACTAAATCTACAGATTCTCATGAAAACATCAATCAAATTGAACGAACTGAAAAACCCCAGATGTATGAACTGACCTCAAAAACGATCCGAACTGAAAAACCAGCTATGTGCCTATTTCTCCTCGATTACACTCCTGTGAATGCAGCTTTCCCCGATATCAAAAATGACGATTCGTGTGAATCTGCTCCGGTTAATCGACACCCCTTTGCAACTTTTGAGCTACTTTCTTCAAATTTTGAAGGCTTGGGTGTGATGAGCTGTTTGTCGGTTCATTTCACATGTTTCCATAGGTGGGTGATGAATCTTTAATGTGTGTACTTGAGGTTCTTTAGTGTGGGAATGTATATATGAGCAGAAACGAAGCAACACTTTTACTGGGATTCGACTTCCATGTCCCAAGTGTACTATTTACTAGAATTGTCGCCATTAGTTTTTCTTGAAAAGCTACAGTTGTCGCCATTATTATATTTGCTAAATGATTTCATAAAAGGGTATATATAACCCTACAATCCCATCGAACCCAATCAAGAACAAGACCAACTAGCATTACAATACCCAGCTTCCATTTCTATATTTGGAAATATACAATTTTAGACAACTGTTTGTTCTTTTTAAAAGAAATGACAAAAAGATTCGAGAATACGTAACCGTCTGTTTGTAAAGTATACGAGCATCAATACACCTGATACAGTTCGGATTCGTGTATATTTCGGCCTCGTCTTTCACTTTTATTTCCATATTTGTCATTTTACTAATTAAATCGGACGGAAGACGGAAGCATGATAAGATTTGTTTAAGGTGACGGCAAGGAAAACCGTACAGTGTGAGAAACAATTATTATACTCTTTTTGTCTTAAAGTAAGATGTTGTTTACCAAACACTTACCCGAGTAAGCGCTTACCAAGTCATTTTACTTTACCGGATGAATATGACAAAAACTAAAAATCTTATCCGGTAAGAGCGAAGGCAAGAATCGAGAGTCTTACCCGGTAAGTGAGGACGAGGACTCTTACCATGGTTAACGCTTACCGGGATAAATTGTTGTATATGTTGCGTTTTAGTGAATAAAATCTTATCTGATAAGTAAGGGATAGTGTTGAATTTTACCAGTAAGTACTTACCGGATAAGTGTTTAGGTAACGTTTACATTTTTTTATGTTAGTCTGTTATAATCCTTAGCCCCATCTATTCAAAGTCTATCAAAGGTTTTATTTAATTTTATTAAGCATAAAAAAATATTAAACCATGTAATTATCATAATTACACCTTAACACATAATTGAGTTATTCTGCTAAAATAATGATTTAATAATCAACATAATATTATTTAGGTTCTGATTATCCGATAATCATATCGAAGCATACGTATACTTTATGTACGATCCTATAGGTTTATGTATTCTTTACCAGTATTAATATATGACACGTGTCATATGCAGCGTTTGTGTGATAATGGCAAACGTCATGGCCAAGTCCAGGATTTAGTCTAATTATTTGTCAAAATTACGTGCTTGAAGGTATTGGTGTTCATCTAAATCGTCAAACTGCACAAATCGTTCACACCTCATTACATTGCACCGTCGTAATGCACGGTCTAGAACTTTTGTCGTGCTGATTGCAGTTTGCATTTTTATCAAATCGTGGTTTAAACAACGCATTTTTATATATTTCTATTGTATATATAAATATACACTAGAAGGGTACTCGCGCAATACAGCGAGATACATCTCGATTTTAATGTTTCGTTTTATTCTGTCTCCATCGATGTTATAATACAATTTTATGTGGTACTGAAAAAAGGATAATGTTTTTATTTTTTGAATAAAATATAAATTTAATAGTGTCGTAAAATTTTTAAAAAAATGTATCGAGTTTAGTATCAAATTAAATATTTAAAAATTCTTGTTTTTTTGTGTGTGTGTAATTTCTTTAATTCAAATTTTTATTTTAATTTAAGTTAGATTTTGATCACGAATTCATTTATATTTGATTTAATAATATAATTTTTTATAAAGATAATAATTTGTATTTTGTTACAATTCAATGATTATCTTAAATATATTTTAGAGTTTTTATATTTAAAATGAGATACCTATCAAGTATTTGATCATGTTTATATGTAGTTAGTTACACAAATTCAAACATGGAGCTTTAATAAGTTGTACATATGCACAATTTACTTGTAATCATGAATTTGAAGTAATATGCGTCAATAAGCAGTACTTAATGCATATTATATGGTTTTTAAGAGTTTTTGTCAAATGATTTATAATACGGGATAGATGTGTGTGTGTGTGTGTATATATATAGGTGGAGATTCAAACGAGAACACCTCTGTTTTACAAGAATTCGAGAATATTTATGGGTCTCTAAAAATAATATGCTAATCGGTACCAAATAATTATCACAACAAATCACATAATGAACAGACACGTCGATTAATGTAGACCTTATCATCGTTCGTTTTCGATTATCACATCGCTATCACAACAAAAATTACATAATTATTAGATGATTATCATATCAAAATCACATCATAAACAATCTTCAATTTATCAAATCATTATCAGAGTATTATTACGGCAAAATTAGATCATTATCACGGTATTATCACATCGTTATTGGCAAATAGACAAATCAACATAAAAAATTTCCAATGATAATAACAAAATTTAAGGGATGAAGATAAATCTAGTTAGACAGAAAATTATGGATAAATATTAATTTATTATATTTTTTTTGTTACGTGTTTAGTTAATTTTTATTTTCATTTATTTTATTTTTTTATTGTGTATAAATTAATTTAGAGACCCATAAGTGTTCTCGCATTTTTGTAAAACCGAAGTGTTCTCGTTTGAACCATTATATGTATACACACACATTGTAATTAGATAATTTATAACAACTTAGGGGCTGTTTGGTAATTGCTTAATGATTCGGTGCAGAATGATTAAGTGGTCAGAATGATTAAGAGACTCTCATGATATAGTGCAAAATGAAGAAAAAAAAATTGTTTGGTAATTATGTACAATGAAATTAGGGCTCTTAATGGTTAAGGGAGATCCAAGATACAAAATCATTCAGAGAGTTTAAGAACCATTAAGACGCAGACTTTTTTTTTGTCAAACAAGATTCACCTCTTAACGATTCAGATGTTGTCTCTTAATAAAACTATTAAGAGGTAAACAAACAACCATTATACATTATTGATTTTTTATTCATATCTTCATTTTCCTTTTAAGTTTCACGTTACAACTTTCTTATTTGAGTTTTTTTTTTGTCTTTTCTTACACGTCGTCGTCAAATTTATTTTAAATTTTACTTTTAGATGTATTTGGATTACTTACGGAGCTCTTAGTTTATTTTACACTTTTTCTAATTACACATTTAGTTAATATTAGAACTTTTAATTGAATGAAATATATCTATTTTTCTGTCAAATTTATTTTGAAATTATGATTTTATAATTATTAATTGAAAATGCACTAGGTACAAACCACATAAATTACACCATACCATGCGAGTTTTTACGGTTGAGGCATATGCTATGTGGTTTACAGTTTGGGAACATCTTTAAGCAGTAAATACATTGATAACCTTCAATTTTTACAGTTATTTATCATTCTTTTTAAACCCATTTTCACCCTTTTACCTTTTGTTATGCCCATTTGAGCCTTTCAAATCTTCTTTGATCTAAATTGTTTCTAAGAGTAAAACCTAGGTGAAATATTCCCACATACATCAACGGCAATACAAAGCATGGATCACCTTCGTATTGGATATCTCTTGCCTTCCTCTTGCGCAGCTGTTCTTCCACGTATTGTTATATACCATCGGGCGTAGAATCTGTTACTTCAGCCACATGTGAGCTAATGAAATTATCCACAGTGAAATCCGGGAATCTGGCTCTTGCTGTTTCTATCAGTGAAACATCTATAAGAAGAATGTCGTCAATTTTAGTTCAGTAGGAATAACACTCATGGAGTAATCTCTTAGAGCCGTTCAATTATAATTCATAAGATAAACACCATCGACTGATAAATATTGCATGCAACCCTTGAAGATTCACTAGTATCGAGGTCTAAATGACCTCCTTCCACCTCCACACCGTGAAGCAGTGAAGTATTTTGGTTGCTCTCATGCATGCATTCCTACATTATGTAGAAAAATCATTTATAAGGGCAAAACACCTTCTTTGGATCCTGTAAAGCAGTTGAAACTAAGATGAAAACAACATTATTTTATTTGATATCTAAAGTCCCAATGGTCCACGTTCACAGTTTATTTCACCCCGAAATGAGTCCATAATTAATCCTATATCTGATATTGATCTGTAAACAAGAAATTCAAAAGGGAAAATGGATTTAACCAAGTGCTAAGAATCATCACTTTTTAGAACATCATCACATATTCACATAGCTTGCCAGTACGTAATATCTTATATGTATTCTGTAACACGTAATTACAGCTTGAAAAGTCACAAGCTAAAACGAACTTTAAACCTAAAATGTAACACCTCATCCATATTTGCATATACAATACATGTTTCACATAACATGAACTTCCATGTAATACACATGGGTCCCAAATATACGTAATATTACTTGTAAAAGTTACTACAAACTTTTTCTCACAAATTACATGACTTGAATATAACATATTCACAAGTTCATGTAATACACAATTCCAACAAAAACTCAAGCTCAACATGTAATCGGATGTAAAGCTATAACACGTCCAAGTACATCTTTCCTTTTCCTTTACCTTCAGGATGTACTTGACCTGTAAAACAAAATTTTGAAAACAAAATGAGGGTTAGACCGTAAGGTCTAGTGAGTAACCCTTGATAGCTTTACATGATGAATATCACCAAAATATTTTTGAAAAGTCAACTTTAAAAAAGGTCAACACATGAATAACAATTATCGCATCAAATCTCAATTTATTGCACCATACAGATGAGACCACCACACTCATCGCATCATAAAAGACAACCCCATCTTGTCGCATCAAGCAGATTCGATAAATACAACTCGTCGCATTAAGCATATGAGATAACTCCATCTCGTCGCATTAAGCAGATGCGACAACCACTTCTCGTCGCATCAAGCAGATGCGATAAACACACTCATAACCCAACTTGTCGCACCATACTGATGTGATAACAACTCATCGCACCAAGTTAATGTGATAAACTCAATTTTATCGCGTCTAAAGGATACGATAACAACAAACCCATGTGATCAAATTTCATCTTTTAAACAAAACCATTGAGTATGTCACCCTTATCACGAATACACTTCTCCAGATTATGTCACCCTTATCTCAATATACACATCTTCTGATTATGTCACCCTTATCCAAAACACACATCCCCTAATTATGCTACCCTTATCTTGTAATACACCTCCCCTGTCAATTATGCCACCCTTATTCCCACAATTGATAATTCAATATCAAAACCCAATTATGCTAACAAATAGCAAGTAATTATAACCGAAAACACTCAATTTTGAAACCCAATAAGTTTCTTAATAAAAACTCATCTTGATCACAAAATAGATGATAACTTTATCAAGCACCAAAATTCAGATAAGAACATGTAAACTTTTTTTTTTCTTCCTTCTGTTTGCTCGAAATCAGGGACCAAAACTTCATCAATTTTTTTTTTCTTGCTCCCATCGCAAAAGAAAAGAAAAGGTATTTATAAGAAGAGGTGACAGATATTTTAAAAGTTTTAAACCAAATATTAAAATTTGATCCCTCAACTTTCAAATCAAATTAAAAACAACCCCAACTTATAACCAACAACTAATCAGCTTATAAAATAAAAGTTCAACTAAAGAACCATAACAAAGTAGTAATATTAGGTGATTCCATGAATGAAGTGTCATAAAGTACTCGGTTTAGGTACATAGTAAATACAAGTGGTTTGTCATATGACTAATTACAATCACCTCTAAAAGCTTATTATTTCCTCCGATTTTTGTTTCTTATTGTACATTTGAAGCCTTTATACTACCTAAGTCACACAAATATTGCAATAATCACTTTTCATGGATATAGCCTTAGGAGTTTCTTCAAGTACATATTTGCAAAAAGACCATAAGAACTAACCTTTCGCTCAGATGGATTGAATGTTTGGTTGGTTCCCATTAAGTCCTGTATGGATAAAGCTGTATGTGTGGATTAATATGTCTATACATATTGAGAAGGTTTTTGTTTGAAAAAGTTTTTTCATAGATGGTAGAAGTCTGACTTTTAAGACTTCTGTTCAAATACTTTATAAGATAATATTGATTATGAAGTGCAGATCTACCATGGTGTTGAAACTTACATGAGTTTATGATATCCCATGAAACCACATAAGAGCTTCTCATTGGATTGTATTTAGCAGGTTTAGACAAATTATGGAGATATAAATGGGAAAAAGGATCATGATGCTTGAAAACTTTAGGTAGAAGAATCATATCTGGTTGATTTTGGACCATCTAGGTCAAAGTTGGGAGTTTTTTTTTGGGGGGGGGGGGGTGGTTATATCTTCTGATAAAACAGGTGTAAGGAATGTTTTAAATGCATGGGAGATGATGGTTTTAAACTCTTGATGAATTTTGGAACTTAAACTTATAATGTTAATATATTGGATTTTATTGATAAAATGGGAATTTTACCCACTTGATGGTTATTTATAAACAAATGTTTATATGGTTGGTAAAGTAGTTGATATATTTATAAAGATATACATATATGACTACTAGTTGTGTACCCGAGCAATGCGGCGGGAGCCATGAATTTTAACGATTTTGAAGTTCCACTGATTTTATAAGATAAGATTTAACGATGATATAGGTTACACTTGGTCTTTACATATTGATACAATTTGAATAAATAAGAGTTATGGTTCCAATTACAGACTATCGATGAAAAAAATTGTACGACAGTTTAAAATCCAATATATTTAAAATCCAACATATTTAAACGACTCCACAAATGTGTTTGATTTACACTAAGAGCAAAGAACCAAGAAACTTGAGTTTTAAGATAAACACTCAAAACCAATAAAGAAAATTACAAATTTGATAGATCATAAGCCATGAAAAAACAAAAAAAGATGAATTTTAGAATGAAATTTCAACAGCTTACCCTCTTTCTTGTCCAGAAACTCAGATTAATGTTGAATTAATACATGTATATATATATATATATATATATATATATATATATTTCAAAAAAACCCAAGAACATATTAATTCATAACATATTAGACAGTGCAATTTGGACAGCCTAACCCCAAAATATATAGTTAGTATATATATAAATAAATAATCATAAAAGTATAAATCGTAAATATTAAAAATATTTTTTCACAGTATATATAATATATAATAATATAATTAAGTCAAAAACTATTCAATATTGGACTCATTTCGAAGGTATTAACGAGACGATTATAATGGTGTAACTTGTTAAAATAAAAATGTATTTTTTAAACATGTTTTAATTGATATACGATTATGTATGTTAATTTGATAAAAGTTTAAAATGAAACATTTAAAAGTAAATGATGTAAAGTAAATTAATTAATTAATTATGATGGTATAAAATGTAACTTTAAAATTATAATTTAAAAAAGATAGGTTGTGAGATGGTGAGTGTATGTGAGGAGAGAGGGATGAAAAAGTGAAAAAGTGACCTAAAGGTAGTATAAAGGGTATTTTGGTCATTTAGTATTTTAAGACTTTAAGACTTTTGTTAAATTTGCTTAATAAGATAATATAGATATAGATAATGCAGTGGATCCATAGGTATAGTGGTCGGTCTTATTAATATGTAGGGATGAGATTCCCTAGTTGTAATCTTGGATTTGGGAGATTTCAAGGTAAAGACCTATATAAGGTTGAACTTGGCGACTCCGCAAGCAAAAGACTTGGATAAAGTCGAGCTTGTTAACATATGTGACTAAAGACCGGATAAGGTTGATGTCATTGTTTATTATCCTTAAACGATGCTTATATGACATTGAATTTGTGGCATACTTATGTGTTCCATCAGAACCAATAGTAAATCAGGGCTCCCCCGTCATTTTACGATGTTTTACACCCTTCCAAGGGTAAAGATGATCCAATAATCCAAAGTGTTCGATTCAAGCTATGTTTTTCATTTTAATGTTTTATAACTTCATATAACTGTTTATTCTCACTAGGCGTTAACCTAACACTTTTCTTATATGACATGTATATCAGGGTTTCCTAGCGGTTGGTCTCCCAAGGCTTGAGTGGAGCGTTGTGCGCCGATGGAGGCATTTTTGGGGATACCATATTTTGGAAGTCATTTCTAGATTTATAAATGTTACCTTCATCCTTTTGAGGATTGTAGCGACACATGTTTATAATCTAGATTTAGAACCGATGTAGATTAGTAGGTTGTTGACTACCGTCTACTTTTGATGTAAACCCTCTTACTATTTCCCTTTTGTTGGGTGATTAATTCGTTAGGTTTAAATGTCTCCTATTTTAGGGGTGTTATAGCAATTCTACTAACCCCCAAAACAACATCCAAATGGTCTAAATCCAGATCATCGGACCAAAACAACAACCAAACTATAAGGCAAATCTTTTAGATAAATAATACCATGAGGAGCAGTTTGAACTTGAGCTATGTGAATACCAACATCCATTAGCAACCATAAATTGAACTTATAGTTGAAATGGAAACAAGATAACAAGAAGTTAATAGCATTAAACCCTGTGCAATTGTACCAATGTTAATAAACAAGCTGCAAAAAAAGTCTGAAATAAGCAGTATTTGATCCGAGAATATACAAACATCCTCAAGATGGAGTCTCAAAACAAGATGAAAAAGCCTGATTCTAGGATTGGGATAAAACCAAGACAACAACATCAAAGGCTGCATCAGATGAAAACCAAAACCTGGACTGAAACCAACACGACTGATTAACAACAACAATTCATCTGGGCTTAAAACAGATTCTGATTTGGGCAGAAATATAAAACCAATGTATTTTTTTGAAGAGCTCCAAAAAGCATAGCAAGAAGGAAGGTAGCATGGATGGTCATGAACCACTCCGAATAACAACCAACAAACCATTACCTTTTGAGCAGGATATAGTATGCAACAATTTATCTGGTAAGCACTTAACAGAGTAAGAGTCGTCACTCTCACTTACCAGGTAAAACTCTTCATTCTTTCACTACTCTTACCGAGTAAGACTCTCCATCTTTTTACCGTTCTAACCATGTAAGATTCTAAACTCGTACCACGTTCATCCAGTAATTTTTTTTACCTAATAAGCACTTACTGGATAAGCGTCTAGTAAACGGCCCTCAGTAATAGGAAATGATACTGTTTCAAAAATCAAATACAAAGAACCATTAAACCATAGGGTTTAAATCCGTAATTTATCCTCGTAAACTCTAGAACATTGAATTTTGTAGATATTTTACAAAATTTAAATTCATAGACAGAAATACCCTTTAAACCAAAGAGGGACTCATCTTGTCATCCCAACAAAGAGCGAGGATAAATCGGTCAAAAGGTTTACCACTCATTCTCCTCTTCGTTCTCCATTTCCTTCCCACTCTCTCTCTCTCGACCTTGCTCACACCGTTTTGTACAACAAAAGCCTCCTCTGCTTCTCTATAACCATCATCTTTACCCACCTAATCAACGTTTTTCATTCTTCATATTTACTCATCTTTTCAAGAAACCCCCATTATTTTTCTGCCGATTTAGAGTTATAATTTCATACTTCTTGTTCCTTGTTGACAATTAATGAGATTTTTGCCTGCAAATTGGGGTTTGAATTCGGAATTTTGAGATATATTCAATTCCCATCTGGGGTTTGTTTATTTTTGTGTGTGGGTATTGGGATATTTAGGTCAAGTTTGGTTTCTTTTTATGGACGATTCTTGAAAAGTCCCTTTGTCACTGTTGTTGAGAGCCCTTTTCTTACTTTTTCATCCCCCCTTTGGATGTGTGTAATTAGCGACCAACTATGAGAGGATGAAAGTGGATGCGCTGATTGACTTCGATGATGGAAGAAACGAGTGGAGAGGCAGGAGATGATCAGGGCTCTGGATGGCTGCAAGTGAAAAAGGTGTCATAGTTCCTGCAAAAATAGTCAATGTTTTATCTGGATTAAGTGCATTTTGTTTCTTTTACTCATTGTTGGGTGTAAAATCTGATGATGTCGAAAATAATTGGTATATTTAACTTTTACCAATCTTCAAATGTGCAATATTTGAATGTTATATTCTTGATGATTAGCTTTAAATGCTTTTTGTGTATTGATCTTCCGTGATAACTTCTTTTCATGGTTATAATTTTTCATGTTTGATCTGATTTGTATTGGTTGCATATCCATGTTAATATGGTGAAACATGAGGTTTTGGGTTTCTCCAAGTGGTTAAGCCTTTTCGCCCACACCTTAATCACTTTTGTGAATTACCAGTGTCCATCAATGGGAATGGCAAAAGCTTCATTCTTTTGGTGTGGTTTCTCAGGTTTAAATAAAATAACACACTTCAGATGGAATTAGGATAGGAGACAAGAACCTGCCTGAATAGCTAATAGAAAGGGGGTGAGGATAACAGAAAGTAAAATCATCGTGGTCTGAATAGGAAATCAAAGTAAAAAGCGATCGTTTTGGTCGACGAACATGGCATGGTGATTTCCCGGTGTGCACGTTATCATATACTGGTGCTCTATGGGGAAAAGGCATGGATCATATGTGCAATGCAATGCACCTTCATATCCTTGATTAATTGTGTAAAAAAGATTTTTCTTTTTAAATAATCGATAATTTCTTTGTGTTCTTGAGATTTTTATACATTTTTTTATCGAACTGATACAACCAATTCCCATTGAACTTGAGGATTTAGACTAGGTAGCTACGTATTTTGGATTTCAATTTGGGCCTTTCTTCTTAGACTCAAGTGTGTTGCATCTTCTATCTTCTAGTACAGCGTAGTTGGATATTTTCTCTTACCTCTTTAATACCAGCCAGTTTTTCTTGAAATTTTGTTCGGTCTAACAAGCATTCATGTGAGGAAATGTCTTTAGTCATTTTAGTACTACAAATCTTCTATCTTTCTATGTAGAGGGTTACAAATATTTTAATATGCTATAATGCCCTTTTTCTGTTATTAATTATTATTAACCTAGTATGTTAAGCTTTCATTCATGAGGCGGGTTTAGATGATGGTAATATTCTGAATAAATAAGATAAGAGCTAAGATTCGAAAAAAGCCTTATGGAATCATGAAAAAAATAGGTATGTATCCGATTGATTATACTAATAAGAAAAAAACCACTATCTTTGATTGATATAAGAAAGTTAGTTGGTAGTAACATGCCACAGGTCATGTTTTGCTTATTGTTATGATGACTAATAATTGTATGATTTTAGATGTATCATAATTGAGTTCTTTACTTATTAGTGTTGTTGTTTTTAACTTCTAGATTGTTATGTTCTGTTTATGAAAATGGTACACGTTGATGACTCATTTTCGGATTTATTACATCGCCATGCACCATGATTCCTATCAGTGAAACGTCACCTTAGCATTTTGTATGAGTTAGAAAAACACAATTTATCTTCTTTAAATACTTGTTTCCTTAGAATTGTGACTCATTTAAAAGTAGATCCACGTATAATAAGAAGGGCTCCGAAAATAACTTTGGATCGCCCACAATCAATTGTGATGTTATAAATATATCATTTTCTTGATTTTCTTTCTGTTTCCTATTATATTTGTGTATCATCTGGACACATATTAGGAACTATAACTTCCATCAGCTGCGCAAACCACTGTGCCGTAAATCCCTATATTTGGTACAAGAATATTCTGTGTCGGTATCTTAGTTAGGAGCTTGCATGTGTGATTTTGTTTCGGTTTCATGCCATTCATTAACTCTTTCTTCTCAATTTTTCAGAAGCATAGAAGCAATTCAAAGTTTTCTCTCCAAGGATGGGTGGGAGGATTATCTAGGAAACAGAATTCAAATGTGGTGCCCCACCAGCCTCATCATGTACAACATGGGACTTCAAATGTTAGCTGTAGTGAACCGATTATAAAAACTAAGGGTTCCAGTACGCCCGATTCTGGTAATTCAAATAATACTTATGTTCCTACTGAATACGAGAAGGATGTGAACTACCTTGACAAGTGTGTGGTTAGCCATGACGATGATAATAAAACTGGTTATGATCACGAGCTTCCACAAATTGATAATCTTGATGTTTTTCCAAAGATTAAATGGGGTAATTTGGATGATGGTGCTTTGGTTCAGACTAGTAGTAAAACCGCCAGTATTGACATAAAATTCGGTGATATTGGAAATGAGGTTGCTGAGATTGCTGTTACTGAAGATGATTCTGTTTCAAGTATGCCACTTTCTACTGAACTTAAAGAGAAGGAAATCGTATCAGCTGCTGAAGAGGACACCGGATCTCAGGAAATCGAAGAGGTGAAGGAGGTATCGTCGGAAGACGTCAAGATTCAAATTATAAATGAGGAAGTTATTAGTCAAAGTGATGGTGGTTCTCAAGAACTTGATAAGAACTTAAAAACTGAAAATCTTGATGCAAGTGGCTCAGAAAATTTAGTTACGAATAGGGATTTAAGCTTTTCGCAAGATTCTGAATTTACGTTAGATGAAAAGGTGACAATTGAGATACCAAAAGAATCTACTCCCACAACCTCTACTGAAGATTCCGATGGCAAACAGACTGCTTCGGTTTTCAATGACTTGTCAGAAGGTCAGATCATGAGTGCAATTGGTTCAGGTGAAATTGAAGCTGGTGAGAGTAAAGAACGGTTTAGGCAACGGCTTTGGTGCTTTCTTTTTGAGAACCTTAACCGGGCTGTTGATGAACTGTATCTTCTATGTGAACTAGAATGCGATATAGATCAAATGAAAGAGGCCGTTCTTGTTCTTGAAGAAGCAGCATCTGATTTTAAGGCGTTGAATTCTAGAGTCGAAGAGTTTGAGAAAGTGAAAAAGTCATTGACTCAATCAAGTGATAAGTCGCCAATGACCATGAAGGCTGAGCAGCGCAGGCCACATGCACTCTCATGGGAGGTTAGGATGCTTCTCTATTTACTACTATAACCGACTTTATAGCTTGTTATTCTAGATTTCTTGTGATTGCATGTGAGAAATCTTAAGTTAGATGCTTGCATGCAGGTTCGACGTATGACAACTTCACCACACAGGGCTGAAATACTGTCTTCATCACTCGAGGCTTTTAAGAAAATTCAACAAGATCGAGCAGCCATGAATAATAATTCTAGAAAAATAGGGTTTACTGACTCTTATGATCGTTCTAGTGGCAGAGTTTTGAATAAACATACCTCTAGAACTGAAGTAGCAAGTGGTGGTAGAGAATCGGCAACGGAACTGAGGAAACGAAGTGGGGTTTCAGTTCTTTCTCAAGGAAACTCAAGTAGGGTAAAGAAAAATGCTGACCCTAGCAAGAACAAGAAGGAAGTGGTTGGTTATTCAGAATTGGAGAAGGTGGGACCGAGGAAAGATAATCTTAAATCCATGGATCAAACCAAAAAAGCGACTTTTATGTCGGAAAGAGATAAGGAAAGAAGAAACAATCTTAATGGAATGTCTTATAAGTCAATGGATGCATGGAAGCAAAAAAGGAACTGGGAGGACATACTAGCTTCGCCTTATTCTGTATCTTCACGTTTTTCACATTCGCCAGGTATGAGTAGGAAAAGCATGGAGCGGGCCCGGATTCTACATGATAAGTTAATGTCGCCCGACAAGAAGAAAAAGACGGCACTTGATTTAAAGAAAGAGGCTGAAGAAAAGCATGCACGGGCGACGAGGATTAGAAACGAGCTAGAGAACGAGAGACTACAAAAACTTCAACGCAGTACAAAGAAACTTAACCGTGTGAACGAATGGCAGGCGGTTCGTAGCACACGTCTGCGTGAGGGAATGCACGCTCGCCATCAACGCAGCGAAACTCGTCATGAAGCTTATCTAGCTCAAGTTGCAAGAAGAGCAGGTGATGAAAGTACTAAAGTTAATGAAGTCCGTTTCATTACTTCACTAAATGAAGAAAACAGGAAGCTTATGTTGATACAGAAATATCAAGATTCAGAATTAAGGAGAGCTGAGAAACTGAAAGATATGAAATCGAAGCAGAAAGAGGATATGGCAAGAGAAGAAGCTGTTTTGGAAAGAAAGAGGCTTGTTGAAGCTGAAAAAATGCAACGTCTTGCAGAAACACAGAGGAAAAAGGAAGAAGCCCAATTAAGAAGAGAGGAGGAAAGAAAAGCATCGAGTGCTGCCCGTGAAGCAAAAGCAATGGACCAGATGAGGAGAAGGGAGGTTCTTGCAAGAGCCCAACAAGAGGAAGCCGAACTTTTAGCCCAAAAACTAGCCGAAAGGCTCAGGGAAAGTGAACAGCGCCGAAAGTTCTATTTGGAACAAATTCGGGAGAGAGCTTCAATGGATTTTAGGGACCAATCTTCGCCCTTATTAAGGCGTTCTCTGAACAAAGAGGGTGCGGGTAAATCTACACCGTCCATCTGTGGTGAAGATGATCTGCAAACCAGCAGTGCTGCAGGTGTTGAAGGTACCATGCTTCCTGCTAGAAGTTTAGCAATTCAGCATTCGTTAAAAAGAAGGATCAAGAAAATTAGGCAAAGGCTCATGGCTCTAAAATATGAACTATCTGAGCCTTTTATTGGTGCTGAAAGTGCTAGTATTGGATATAGAGCTGCGGTAGGAACTGCGAGGGCGAAAATAGGGAGGTGGCTTCAGGAGCTTCAACGACATAGGCAGGCTAGAAAAGAAGGGGCGGCTAGTATTGGGCTAGTAACTGCTGATATAATTAAGGTACCTGTTTTTTCATATGAAATATCTACATATATGCTTATAACTTGGTTCTTAATCAATTGTTACTCTTTTCATCCCAAAAGAAAGTGGTATAATTTGATTTTGTGAGGTCAGTTTATACATTTGACATCTAACACTGGATGGATTTCGTTGCAAACTTAATATCTGTGTTTATTTTAGTTTTATATAATCTGTTTTAGTTTAATGTAGTTCTTTACTTTCTTGAAAAGAAAGAAATACCAATTATTTGAAGTTGTTATTACTCCTTTTTGACCTCATAAGTCAAATTGTGCCACTTTGCATGTTTGAAAGGGATGGAGTATATCATCTTTCGGGAATATTTGAGGATAATATCTTTGATTATTTTTGGATTAGTTTTTGGACGGAAAGGACCCTGAACTGCATGCTTCTCGACAAGCTGGTCTTCTTGATTTTATTGCTTCAGCTCTGCCAGCTTCACACACATCCAAACCTGAAGCCTGCCAAGTAACAATATACTTCTTGAGACTTTTAAGGGTAATACTGTCATTGCCTGCAAACAGGAGTTACTTTCTCGCAGAAAATCTTCTGCCGCCAATGATACCCATGTTGGCAGCCGCCCTTGAGAACTTCATCAAAATCACAGCATCATCTTCAAATGTTGGGGGTAGTAAAACACTAATCGAAAATTCTGATACGATCACTGAAGTTCTGGATGGATCTCTGTGGACTGTGGCAGCTATTATTGGTCATTCAAGCTCTGATGAACGCCAGCTTCACATGCAGGATGGTTTAATAGAGCTCGTTATAGCATATCAAGTTATTCATCGACTGAGAGATCTTTTTGCACTCTATGATAGGCCACAAGTGGAAGGCTCTCCGTTCCCTTCATCTATTCTCTTGAGCATCAATTTGTTGGTAATATTGACTTCCCGATATAGAACCGTTTCTTCAATCGACTGGGAATCTTATCCAGTTGAAACGATGGCAGATAATGGAATACAAGAGGCTAAACATATGGAGGTTGCAGAACCAAGAGGTTCTTTATTTAATTCAAGTGGGAATTCTGAATCATCTTCCAAATTGTTGCAAGATGTACCAGAGGACCGGCCACTAGATGACTTATGTAAGAAGGATGAGAAGAACACTGTGGATAGTGGTGGAGAACAAAAGAACAAAAACAAATTGGGACATAAGCATCCTGTGGAATATCTTCTTTCAGCCATATCTGAAACTGGATTAGTGTGTCTCCCCTCCTTGTTGACAGCCGTGTTATTGCAGGCTAACAACAGGTTGTCCTCTGAGCAGGTAACTTCTTTTCATCGTTCTTCCGTTAACTCGATTCACAAGCCATCAGTTTTCATTCTATTACATATATGCACTTGTGTTCCTCATGGGAATGTTAGCATTTGGGCATGTTTTGACAAATGAGTTGTACTTGCCAGGGTTCGTACGTTCTTCCGAGTAATTTTGAGGAAGTAGCAACTGGGGTGCTGAAGGTTTTGAACAATTTAGCTTTGATTGATATTAACTTTATCCAGATGATGCTAGTAAGTACACTTCTGTTTCTTGATTTATTGTAAATCGGCTATGATCCCTAGAATGCGTGCAATTCCTTGAAATCGTTTATAAAGCTCTATGCTTTAGTATGAAATTAAGCCTGTTTTTTTACCCAAACAGGCAAGGCCAGACCTAAAAATGGAATTTTTTCATCTGATGAGTTATCTTCTTTCTCATTGCACCAGCAAGTGGGGAGCGGCTACCGATCAGGTGATGTTTTCTTTCTTCTAAGTTTTTAATCATTAATGATAGCGTATAATGATTATTTTCAAGATTCTGAAGGAGTTTAGACTTCTAGAATTTAGTGTTTCAGAGCTAAGCGGTCAAGTGGCTTTCTAGCAATTAATCTCTTATGTAGGGATTGAGTGGACAAGTTAGTAGATGTATCTAGTGGTATTTTCAATCTATAGATGCCACTAATGAACATGTCAACTTCAAAAGGTTCGATCTTGTACTATTTTGATACAATTACTTGTCTAAATGACGATTTTCATTGTTCCAGTGGTACAAATGCGAAACGGTCTGCAAAAATGTTTAAGACCCAATACTTATTTAGTGAAAACAACTAGCAACAAAAGTGATTGGTCGACTTTCAAGAGGTCAGCCGTCTCTCCAAAACCCTAGCAAAATACTGGACTTTCTAAACAATATTTCTGCTCGTGATTTGGTAAATCCCATATATATATATATATATATATAACACTTTCTGATTTGTTAAACTATGCCAAGGCCCATGCACGAGTCCAACAATACTTCCCTCCCAAAAAGACCTTGTCCTCAAGGTGTAATTCATAAACATTGTACCGATCAATCTCACTCGATTCCGGTATCCCAATATCTTGTTTGTGGCCCTTGGTCCTTGGGGACTCCATTATAGTCATCGGTGTGTGTGCCTATCAGACTCTATTGAATATTCCCAACATTAAGCCTTTCCTTAAGCCAAAATTTAACCGTCCATGTGTCCCAATGATGAGCTCAATAATCTTATTGGGTACTTGGCCATGGAATCTTCCAAAATCAAATCAGTTGGTCGCATAAATATGCCAAAAGTTTGTAGTGTCCTTAGCAAACCTGTCAAAATTTGGCCCAACGTTTTCATTAAGCCTATGATGAGACCCATTAAACTCATCGGCAAGATGCTACTGTTGCCTATTTTGATTATGGTAATACTATTGTTGCCTAACTATTAAACTTGATGGATGTGCATGTGTTGCAGTGTTGACATTACTCCCCTTCCAAAAAGACTGCTTGTCCTTGAGGTGTATATTTTGTTACGATTGACAATAATCAATTTTGGGATCTCATTTACTTTTTTGAGCCTATTAGCTACCATGTTGTCAGCCTAAGTGAAGACACAAGCAGAAACTTTTGTTCCATCCCTATATTAGGCCTAAGTTGATGCCTAGTTCTTAACTAAACTATTGGGGGGGGGGGGATCTAATGCAAAGAGGCATAATAAAAACCTTAACTCGTCCAACAATCCATATGAAACAGGGTAGACCGTGTGTTTCGAAATTTTAGCTTCTTAAATGATGAAACTTTGAAGAATATATTGAATCAAACGACGAACAACACATTGTCTACACTGTGTCCATGCGAACCAATGAATCCTCTTCATGCTCTATGAAAAGAGAAAAGATCCTTGTCGTCTTCATGTTTCTAGGCACTAAAAACTTTGAAGAATGAGGCTGCTAGGTTTTTGATTTAAAGGAAGGGAGAAAACCATTTTTTTTATCTTAGGGTTTAAGAAAACTCGCAATCTGGTTAACATTATCCTAATCTGGTTAATACTTCAATCCAATTAAATTATAAATTACATATATATAAATAAGTGAACACTTTAATTAATCGGATAAATAATAAATAACTTCAATTAATTATAGTCTGTTTGTTTGTGCGTTCTTTGCAACTCATTGAGACATTGCTATGTTGGTAATAATTATAATAACCATTTATAATTGAAGACGAAGAGCGATATCTAGCAATACATTATCGCTGCCCAAATGACAATGATTGGTGATTCAACCAAGCATCAATCTCATGATCATTATTAGTGTACATGTTGTGTCCCTTTGTCTTTAATGTATAGATTGGACACGAGGCATGGACGGGTCATCCCCGTAATACTTAATCCCTACTTTATGGATTCCCAAATATACTAACAAAACAAATATCAATATATTATCTCGACTATTTGAACATGCATGTGTTGCCTTAGTACCACTCTATCAAGGGGTCCTAAGAAATTGCTTCTGGACAATCCTATCTGTAATCATACAAGTCTCACCATTATAAGTCTCACAATATGTTATTGTCTGACACCCAACGATTATTCTTCCACTCAGTTGCCAACTTACCATGTGATTAGATTTAGTATCAAAGTGTACGACTTAACCATGGTAGACTTCAAGATCATCAAGTCAAATGACGTTATTGTAATGTGACCACATGAAAAACACTCATGACACTCGTATAACATCCCATGTAGTTTTTTCATGGAGGGGTTTGTTTGCTATACAAGCTCACCAATTTGTACCTATATGTGAACTCCATATGAACTATATGTGTTCCTACATTGCTAGTCTCAAATGTAATACTTCAACCTGAGTCTAAAGTTGTACTTGACCAAAGACATTTCAAGACTCGTATTCCAAGATCATTAATTTATTTCACTATCCAACACAAAATATAGCAATGACACATAATAACTAGACAATGTCATTAATCATAACTCAATTGTCTCCAAATACAATCATCTAATGATTGGCTTTTGGGCATCAACAACATCAACGACACAAGGCCTTAGCCTGATGCAAGCCTAGCCTTGCATATACCTTTCCTTCAATGCATATCACCAAGCTTGTGGACTCTTCGTCCCCCTGCTGCCATATGCTAGCCCTTGCTGATTGGTGTCCAGCCACTATCACCAAGCACCTCTCCCTTTGGGTAACCGTATTTCTCTTTACTGCATCCTCTGAGGTCGCGTCTCCCGTTGTTGCCATCCCCACCATTGCATAACAAATTCTGCATGGAAGCAAAATGTTTGTTCATTGCAGTGAACCGTGCCAACATTATGGATCTCCACTCTTTGGTTTCTCTCCCTAGTTTCTGTTCCAATTTGCCGACTTCTCTTTGTTTCCATTGGTCCTAGAATAAGATGTTCTGATACCTATTTTTAAGACCCAACACTTTCTATTGAACGAAAATAACTAGTAACAAAACAAGGTGATTGGCTGACTTTTAAAAGGTCGGCCTTCCCTCCAAAACCCTACAAAACTATTAATACACTTGCCAAAATGCCTACATATTTATTTATCTAATCCCCATGCATACGGTAAATAAATGCTCTCCTAATTTATTAAACCGGGATAAGATCCACATATGAGTCTAACAGAAAATTACCTCTAAATTGAGAGAAGTGGTCGATTAGAAAAAACAAGCTCAAGCTAAGTGGGGGGAAGATCAACTAGCCATTTCTTGCACATTTCCGTTTCTAAGTTGATTTAAGGAAAATTTATCTCTATTCATGCTTAATCTGACTCAGAAGAAGACGAAGTTCAATTTTCACGACCGCACTTGTTAGATTTTATGTTTATTAGGGCAATAACCATAGAGTTATCTGATCTGCCTTTAGTTATACAACCATCTTTGGTTGATCTAAATTTGACTCAACGTAATTGATGTTCTTTTTATCAACCAAATGGAAGAAATCCCACTTGGAAGTAAGGTCTGGGGTAAGATGTAACAAATCTGACCTCTATCCTAGAGAGTAGAGTGTCTGTTTCAATTGATATTCTTTTTATGACTTATATATTAATGAAGACCGTATTTCTGTTTTGCATGTTTCAGACTGGTTTGCTTCTGCTTGAATCTTTGTTGCTTCTTGGATACTTTGCCATGTTCCACCCTGAGAATCAAGCCGTTCTTCGTTGGGGGAAGAGCCCCACAATTCTTCACAAGGTCACGAAAATATCATGGAGCTTTATTTTTCTTCTATTATTCCCCTCATCCCAAAATAAGTGTCCGCATTTCTATTTTAGTTTGTCCCAAAACAAGTGTTCACTTTCAAAAGTAAATGCCTACTTTCCAATTCTACCCTTAATTATGAGATTGAGAAATTCATTACTCCCTCTATTATTAAGGGTAAAATTGTCATTTAGTTAATTAAAAATGTAATAATTACACATTTCTAAAGCCGTGTGCATTTTTCATTGTCGACATTTATTTTGGAATGGAGTACTGTTTTTTCCAAATAGAGAACCCATAATTCTAATGCATGATTGGTTTCACAGGTATGCGATCTGCCTTTTGTTTTCTTCAGTGACCCTGATTTAATGCCAGTCTTGGCTGGAACACTCGTAGCCGCCTGTTTTGGGAGCGAGCAGAACAAAGGAGTGGTTCAGCAAGAACTTAGCATAGAGATGCTTCTTTCCTTGCTCAGATCCTGTAGAAGTGTGTCCCCGTCAGGTTTGACCCAAGTTAATCCACCGATTGACGATTCCAGTGAGTCAACTCAGTCTGGTCCCGAGACAAGAAAACTTAATGGTGATGTCTCGCAAAGATCAAACCGGCACAATACAAGAAGCACACGGGTTCAATCAGGAAGAGGTGGTGCAGTTGGGAACAGTAGCAGAAGTATTAAGATTCGGAATCAGAAAGATAGTAGCAAATCAACGAGGGTTTGTGAATCAAATTCGGAAGGTTGCTCCAATTTGATGCTCCATTCAAGATTTCCTGCAAGCTTTATTGACAGAGCAGAATTGTTCTTTTCAACTGAATCACCAGTTTAAGTGTAAATGAAACTTGTTGGAGGACAAGATAAAGTAGAACAACTTTTGAAACCCGCTTCACAAATTGAATAAAAGAGCCGACAAATGCGAAAAGCAGGTTCCTTTCGATCTTTCTTGGTTGTAATTTTGCATTTGATGATAAAAAGCATGTTAAAAAATTCCCTTTTCGGATATATGAGAAGCAAATCAGTAGAATCACAAGCAAATAAAGGATTTTGGATCCCCATGGATCCTTAGATCCTAAGCTTCCATGGTTTTATACAGTTGAACAAAATGGATCATCTCCAAGAAACTTAATGTGGGATGGCACATGGAAGTCAAGCAAGTAAATGAAATCCCAGTGAAGATTATGTTTAAAGATTAGTATATAAATAGCATATAGCAAAATAAGAATCTGGGATCTTCCCTAAAATGCAACCATGGCCACACTGCAACTCGCACCAGACCTCCATTAAGGAAGAGATATAAAGATCATTTGCGTTCCAGCAAGAAAGAAGCAAACCCCATAAGCTCAGAATTTAGGAATATGCAGGTTATACTTTCTTTTTAATCAGGCTTTAGTTTTTAGAAATCATTTCAAAAGCACCAACCAGAGCTTTGACCTTGCTCTTCCTAGTTTGGATAAGCTTGCTAGCAGTCTCTTCGATAACGTTATTTAAACCCACATGGGTTTTGTTTGTTTCCACTTTGCACGGTTTCAGAGCAACATCTACAGAGCGATTTTCAGAACTGTGTAATACACTGTCAGAACACAGTCTTCTTAAACTTGTCCTGTTATCTGGACTGTTTTTGTTTTCATCCACCACTTTCCCTTGCCCAAACTTGTGTTTTCTTGGGCTGCTACTTCCAGATTCTGAATCAATGATGTTTCCTGGGTTAAATTTGGGTTTTCGAGGCGAACAATTTCCATTTTCCGTTGCTAACTTTCTGACCCGTGCCGGCTTTTCTGTTTTCTTGATTTCTAAAGGTGTTATGCTGTTCTTTTGACCATCTCTTTGCAGAGTTTTGTCTTCCTTTGAAGGCGAGAAGATCTGTGATCCAATTTGACCATTTCCAGAAACTCTTTCGTCATTCCTGGATGAACCAGAAGCAGGACTTTGAATTATATTCTCCGTTTTCTTGACTTCTAAAGATGTTATTCCTTTCTTTTGCCCATCTCTTTGCAGAGTTTCGTCTTTTTTTGAAGATGAGGAAATCTGAGCTCCATTATCACCATTCCCAGAAACTCTTTCCTCATTCCTGGACGAACCAGAACCAGAACCAGAACCAGAAGTAGGAATTTGAACTATATTTTCTGTTTTCTTGACTTCTGAAGCTTCTATGCCGTTCTTTTGTTCATCTTGTTGCAGAGTTTCGTCTTTCTTTGAAGACGAGATCTTCGTTCCATTGTGACCATTTCCAGAAACTCTTTCCTCGTTCCTGGACGAACCAGAAGTAGGAATTTGAGTTCTATCTTCTGTTTTTTTGACTTCAAAGGCTGTTATACCGTTCTTTTGACCATCTCTTTGCAGAGTTTCGTCTTTCTTTGAAGATGTACGCCTTTGAATTTTATCAGCTTTATCGGTCTTCTTTTCTTGAACAACGTCTCCACCAGGTTTCACAGGCTTGGACTTTTTTGAACCCTGATCAACCGTCGAACTGAACTGGGCTTTCAAAGCTTGCACCTTTCTAGAAACCTTCCCATCATTCTCATGCGTTTTCGCAGCAGTCTTAACAGAATTGGGTGGTTTTGAATTCTTTCTTGGTTCAGTCTTGTTATAAATAGTTTTATTGCTTCTGGTCAAACCACCTCCAACTGCAGGCGAATCAAGAACATCTCCCAAACCAGTGGTGGGTATAATGACCTCACTGTATCTCCTAGTAAGTCTTGAAGGTGGGAGATAAAATGGATCATCTGGGTCAGGCTTTGAGTTGATCTTTGACTTGAAATCTTGGCTTTTGGATTCAATGGGTGCTGGTTTGATTTGATGTGTAAGTGAAGTCTTGCTGATTTTAACATCTTTTGTTGAAGGTCTGGGAATGGGTGCATAGAGTTTCTTAGATGACGGGTTTTCTAGAGGGGAAGTTGCGGGATTGAATTCTAGAGGGAGGTTGAGAAAAGGTCGTTTGCAGTTATCGTGGCAGGATGGAAATGGAGGTTGAAGATATCGACTTAGAATGTCTTTATATCCTGGTTGCTCGAATGTGAGGTTTCCAGTTGAGTTTCTTCTCGAGTGTCTGTTTGGCACGATCCTTTCCATGCCAATGCGAAACAACGCCTACATAAAAAACATTGTTCCATCTTAAAAACGGCGTAGTTTGACTCAAATTTACTCATCGTCACATTAAACCAAACTACCCGAGTAAATCTTATAGAGATCGAAAAGAGATCGAAAAGGGTAAAATGTACTCGGATCTTCCGATTATGGAGAGAAGTCTACAATTACTAAACTACCCCTAAATCATATCATCACAGAAGTCATGGTAATGTTAATTTGGGTTCACATAATTATACATATTCACAAGTTTAAAGTTAATTCATATCATTCAACTAGTAATTTTACATCAGAGTTTTCTTTTAAGTACAAAAGCCCTTGTCAACTTATTATAAGTCAGAAGGGTTTAACTTTTTCAAAAACTCCTTATTACCGGTTTGTCACCGGTATAAGTTGTTTATCCAAACACTCAAAAGTGCTTATTACCGGTGCCACACCAAAATAAGTCAATAAGTTGTTTTTATAAGCAACCACAAACACCCCCAAATCCCGAAAAAGAATAATGTCAGAGAAATATTTTGATTTCGAGGGTTTCAACCAAATAATTCGATAAATCCTCGTAGCTTTGATTTTAAATGTTAAACTTGTACGAGAAATATCATATATACAGTAAAATATCACGAAGAAAACAACATTCATGACGATGATTGGATCGTTAGCTTTAAATTGATCAACACTTTGCCAATAAGAACATTCGCGTACAATTAAGAAAGTTTCGGTTAAATTATACGTGTTTTTAGATAAGAAAGTTTCGGTTAAATTATACGTGTTTTAAATAGAAACGGATAAATACAAGAAAATCTTGAATTGGATGTGAAAATTCAAGAATTGAAATGAATACATACCTTTTGGAGGAATTGCAAATTGGTGATTGTTGCTGAAAGATTAAACCCAGAAGCTTGAGATGAAGGTTTCTGTTTTGGGGAAGATGGTGGCTTTGAAATCACCATTCTTGTTGTGCGTATCACACCCAAACAAACGCTAAATATGCCACACATATCTTGGGTTTCTATTTTTGGAAACATCAAGCATTTTGTTTATATTTAGAAACTTTAATTAGGTTTTTATGAATTCAGAATAATTATTACCAAATTCAAGTTTTTTATATGCATGGTTTGATGCACAATTTGTCATGTTGAAACAAGTTTTGGTAGAGGATTAGAGGGCAGATAACACCCGGCGTCACACGATTTTCCCGATCTAAATCAAGCAGGTTTTACATGAAGAAGATTTGCCCTGCGGCCATCATGAGGAGGTAAATCAACACATGCATCCAACTGGCAGAGAAGCGGTGCCTAGACTCGAAGATGGGGAAAACAAGTTTAAATAGGTTTTGAACCAAAACTGAAACCAAACGAATCCAATAAATCTGTCAAGGAGTATGGTATTGTATCATCTCCAATATCTACCAAGCGGCTTATGGTGGCCACAGGCTGCCCTACCCCTAACAGACTCGATCAAAAACCCAAGAGATGTCATGATGCTCCCAAACATTAAGGGGGCGGTTGGTTCGCAGAATGAAATTTGTTGGAATTAAAATGAAATTTGATGGAATTTGACCACACATTTGGTTGGTAGGAATTAGAATGAAATCTCCCAAAAGAATTGAAAAATCTCTATTAATAGCACAGTGATATTGGTGGTCGTAGGTGGGCAGGTGTGAGGGGTGGCAGCTGTAATGATGACATTAGTGGTATTGCTGGTGGCGGAGGTGGCACCGCCCCTCCACCCGCCCCTACCCGGCCTCGACCACCGCTTATACCAGACACTCTAACCACGGTCCCCTAAGCCCCCACCACCACCTCGACATCACCCCCGGTCCTAACCCAAGCCTACGCCACCGGTCCTACCCCCATCATGCCGCCGTCTCCTCACCCCACACCCACTATCAACCCCAACTCCGCCTCGCACCCACCACCACCATCACCCACACCCACACCCACCCTGCCCTCTTGGTGCCCCCTCACCTATGTGGCGGGGGTAGCTGTGACGATTATTGTAGTGGTATAGTGTCGGGTGGTAGTTGTGAAGACAACAATAGTCGTGAGGTGGTCAATGAGGTGGGGGGTTGGAGGTGGGTAGCGAGGTGGAAGTTGTGAGGACGACAGTAGTGGCATAGTGGTCGGGTGGCGGGTTGATGTGGGTAGGTGACGGGGCAAGGGTAACAGCTGTGACGATAACACTAGTGGCATGATGGTTAGTGCCGGGGTAGGGTTTGTGTGGCTGGGTTGATAGATAACAGTAGTGGTATGGTGGTCAATGTAGGGGTTATAGGGGTGGGTGAAGGTTGTGACAGCGACAATAGTTGTGTGGTGGGGTTTAGGGGTGGAGGCACTGACAACGAGTCAATGACACAACATGGTCGTGGTAGGGCCAGGGGTGGTCAGTGTTGGTTAAATTGGCGTCGATTATACCAAGAAATGATGAATTCATTAATTTGTAAGGTTCAATAGAATTTGAAGAATCCATCAATTTCAAGAAGTGAACCAAACAAAGAAATTAGAATTTGATCAAAGAAATTTGTCATTCAAATTTCATCAAATTCCACGAACCTAACGACCCTTAATGACATGTTTGGCAAACTAGCTGAAAAACTAGCCGATAATTTAGTCTATGTTTGGTAAATATTAGTTGATAAGCTCGATGACAATGTAAAATGACAATTGGAAAATATACAATTAAGCAACGATCTCTGTTACAAGCCAATCAAGACTCGGGTACGCAAAATATAAAACAAGAAAAGACGGGACTGCAAACAGAATTGTGACAAGAATGTACACGGCTACGATGGCTATACTTGCCGGTATCGCATATACAACAATAAGAAGAAACATGAACACCAACGGAAACTTGGCCGTCAAGTTCACAAACAAGATTAACGACTTATGGAGAGCCGTCTGCAGCCTTTCCACATTGAAATCACGAAGACGATGATTCGGCTCATGAACACTTGGGCCCACAGAACGGCTAGCTCGATTCCACGGCCAAGCTGTTGGCGGTAGATGGTCCCCACAGGCGGAGGAACAACGGGACTTGATTCTATCACCATTCAAACTCTCGACCATCCAAAGAAGAAAGTAGTTTTTGCGCGGAAACCTCAGATTTCCTTTATAAACGAGCCGAAATGTTAACAGGTTGCACCACGGGCAAGAAATGAGAAACGGGAGCTGAATCGGAATAGTTGGGAGTTTGACAACAGCCCATTGAAGCGCGAGGACGCAGTTTTTACAGAGCGTGTGACCACACCATAACACGTAGGGCACGTTTTCTACAATATTGAAAGATTCGCAGCAAATTGGGCACTCCAAACTTTCATCTCTGCTGCTATTTACGGAGATCTCATCATCTGAGCAGTCCAAAGAAGCTTGATTCGGTGCTGAAGAGCCGTTGCTTGGTTCAGAAGTACCAGCAACGGCTTTTGAAGTAAAACCCCACATGTTGGATTCAGAATTCCTAACTGATCATGAGAAATGTAATATCTTCACTCTTCAATGGAGTCCATTGAACAACTTGTGCTCCAATAGATTGCCTACAAAAAAGCAAAATTTTCAAGAAATGAATCACAATCGCTTTATAAGGTTTTGTGTACGTTCAACCGTGACTCCTTCTCCAGGTGGATATACAGGGCTCGTTTGCACTTTACAGCTACGGGTTGGATTCTCGTGAGAACCGTGAGACGAGTTGTGAACACACAAATACAAACTGAATCTTTACAGCAAAAACACCGTGTAAAGGTATAAAAACAAACCTTCATAGTGTTTTTCTGTTTCAAACGAAAACTAATGGTCTGAAACAAATTATGCTTTTCTACAAACGTACTTGTCAATTTATTATAAGTAAGAAGTGTTTAACTTCTTCAAAAACTCCTTATTACCGGTTTGACACATGGACAAATTATTTATCCAAACACTCAAAAATGCTTATTACCGGTACCACACCGGAATAAGTCAATAAGTTGTTTTTACAAGCAATCCCAAACACCCCCAAATCCTAGGGTATGAACATGATCTGAAGAAGATCCATACAAAAACAACTTCTAATCTTTTGAGACAGACGAAAGATCTGTGCACATCTTTAACCCCATAATTTACTTTCGGATGTGATATACTGTCTTCGATTGATTTGGCTGATCCGTACTTAACAGTCATGAATGCTTAATCAATTACATATTTGAAAGACTATGGAGTTTCTACAATAACCTAAATCAGAACTTCAAAATGAGTTCCACTAGTCCTTGAAAATTACAAAGTACGGGGAACAGTAATCGAAGAACAATCACAGAGAACCGATGAAACAAGTTATAAAAGAAGACGATTATACCAATGAAAACCTGATGAAATCTAATTGAAGATGTAAAGGAGAATGAATCATCAAAGCGATCATAGTGAAGGTTCGAGTATGGATTTACCTGAGTGATGATTGACGAGAGCAGAGATCGGATGGAGAAAAGGTTGGAAGGAAGGCAAAAAGATGTTTACAGGACACAAAATCCCATGTTGTCACTTGTCAAGGAAGAAAGCGATCTTCTACCTCCCATCCAGTCCTGGCTTTACAAATGGGTTCGGCAAGTGGTTAATATACAATGTCACTTGTAGAATATTTCAGTACATGATGATGATGAGTAATCAGAATAATTAAAAGGCTCTTATGATATAACATAAAATGAAATATAATTGTTTGATATTTGTTTACAATGAAATTAGAGCGCTTAATAATTAAGGGAGACTTAGGTCACAAAATCATTTAGAGGATTTTAAAACTATTCAAGAGACAGACATTTTTTTTTTCCTAAACAAGATTCACTTCTTAAAGATTTAGAGTCTGTCTCTTAATGGAACTATTAAGAGGTAAACAAATGACCTCATAGTGTAAAATGATATACGGTTGTTTAGCAAATGTTCAGAATAAAAATCACGGTGCTGAGGGATCCCCAAGATACTAAATCATTCAATTAGAATTATTAAAAGACAAAACTTTTTTTTATCAAACAAAATTCATCTCTAAGGGATTTAGATGCTGCCTTTTAGTAGAAATATTAAGAAGGTAAGCAAACAGTTCTTAACTTTACAAATGAATACTTGTCATCTAGCTGGTCCACTATTTCTGTTTATTTTTTTCGATTTTATTTTACGAAGAGATATTTTCTTTGTTATAATTTTTATGGAGTATTTTGTTGTACTAGTAAGGTTTAACGTTTATTTTGTATTTGAACATGTTTACTAGTCGGTAACGAGTTAGGGGCCGTTACCAAACGCTTACTCGGGTAAGTCCTTACCAAGTCATATTACCTTACTGGATGAATAGGTAAGAACCAAGAATCTTATCCGGTAAGAGCGAGACAAGGACCAAGAGTCTTACCCGGTAAGTGAGGGCGACAACTCTTACTACGGTAAGCGATTACCGTATAAATTATTGCATAGGACGTCGTTTTGGTGGACTAAAATCTTACGCGGTAAGTAAATAATAATGTTAAAGTTTACCGGTAAACACTTACCCAAACGACCCCCTTAATTTTATAAAATTCAAACATATTAATAAATTATATATATATATATATATATATATATGTGTGTGTGTGTAATAATACCATATAAACGTTATATAATATACTTGCATCTGAATATACAAGTGGTTGAAATTTTTGAAAATTGGGTTAAAAATTAAAAAAAAATATATATCAATGAGATTATAAAAAATAAATGCTAGTTTTTTTTTTATATAATTTAACTTTTTGTAACCAAGAGGGTCTTGCAAAACATTAATATAAAAATCCTTTAAATTTTTCATTCTTATCATTTATAAAATAAAATTGAATTTCTTTTGTATGGTAGGTTGATTTTTGTCTCTTTTAACAATATTGTGCCGACATCATAAGAGTGGTTAATATATTTTGAATTTTGATAAAGAAATCAAATTTCCACGAACCCATAACGACTTACTTTAATTTTGATCCATTGAAGCACCGGAAAAATGTTGACCATGACCAAAGATAAATTCGCTGTTTGATTTGTTTTTCATTAAGACCTGTATGAATGAAATTGTCTGTATTGATAAAAGTTGTCTGAATGATAACATATAAGTTGTTGTTCGGTTGTTGTCCTAAATAACTAGTCTGAATAACATAAATTACTATTTTACCAATCAATGTCCATCCAATCTAACTGGTTTGGGTTTTTTACACATACCTAATATTAAAGACCCAGTGAAGAAGACAATCTGGGTTTTTTACTTTTTTTTTCCCAGAACTAATGCCAAAAAAATCAAAAGCATCAAATATATGAACCCTAAATAAAAGAACACCAAGTGAAGGATACGAATCAAATCGAAAGAATCAAATCTGTGAACCCTAATAAAAGAACACCCAAATGAAGGAGACGAATCAAATCGAAACGTTGAATCCGACACATAAGCGCAAGATGGGGAGAGTATGGAGCAGATCGAGTTTCATTCCAGAGAGTGAGAATCGATTCCATTTCAGGTAAGGTAGAGGATTTGTTAGAGGTGGATGGAATGAATTAGGGGAGGACGAGACGTGTTTTTTCCAAGGGTATTGAGGGAAAAGGACCAGCTGAGCATATACGACTCTACTTTTTTAGTCGAGCGATTCAGCCATGGGCTGACCAAATAAGTCCATACCGAACAATTAGATATGGTTGCGCGAATAAGCCATATGGCTTATACAATCCATCCATTAAGCTGCAACAGAAACAACCCCTTAGTCATGTCTATGTACATCTCACTACACAAACCTCACATCTGAGTCACACACACACACACACACACACATATATATATATATATATATAGAGAGAGAGAGAGAGAGGAATGATCAAATAAAAATCACTCCAATTTGTAAAAACCGTAAAAACTACTCTCATCCGTCGTTAATCTTATGAAATTTTTTCTTGAAATTGTTAATCTTGTGTAATTGTTTCATATAATACTTTTTTTTGATGAAGTTGTTTCATATGTGGTTATGAAATTGTTTCATATACTACTTAATGAAATTTTAATGAAACTGTTTCATATACTACTTAATGAAATTTTAATGAAACTGTTTCATGTATTTCTCTAAAATTAAAATAATGAAGATGATAATATCCATGATTAACACCCTCCACAATAAAAATGGTTAATCAACCTCTCATAATTACAAAAAAATGAACAAAATGAAAAATTATGATTAGTTGAATTAGGTTTTCACGATTTTTACAAATTGAGTGGTTTTTATTTGAACCCACCCCTATATAGATATATATATAAATAACATAACCGTCTATGCTATTTGTCACATAACCATAAATGGTAACTTCTTATTTAGTCATAAAAATCAAATTTTAAAATCTTGATTTGCAACCTATCGAAACAAATGGAAGTAACTTGATATAGAAACCTCAACTATGGATATCTTTAACGGGAATTCAACCCCAAAAGCTTTATCACATCTAATTAAGTACTCAACATTTGTATTTCCACAAAGATATAAACATTTTTTTACTCTGTGTATGTATGTATATATATATATATGTAATATGTATAGAACTATATATACTTATCTATATTTACCTCCATCTAGACAATAATGCTCCTCTTTCGAAAGTAAAAGCAGGATCTTCGGCCGGAACTCTTTTGCTTCTTCGACCTTTCTTGATCCTTCCCCAACTTGGTAAGCACGCCTTCGCCTTCGTACTCTTTTTCTTCTTTGTTGTCCGGCATTTGCGATGCTGACCTGGTATCTGTTTCAAAACAGATGTGAGATCAGCATCGCATCTGACAGAAGTGACTATCTTGGCGAACCAAAGTAAGTGGTCACTGGAATCTCTAACCAGTGATGATGATGATGACATGGTGATCAGCGCCACCGCTGCTGACATGGCTTGTTCTTCCTCCTGTAGAACCTGTTTTCCTTGAGCCATGGTGGAGTTTGTGATTTCTGGAGTCGCGGGTGCATCCATATCTTTGCCAACCTGAATCTCAACTTCAATGAGCTCATTGAAGTTCACCATTTCATTTTCGAGCTCCAGCTTCAGTTTCTTGACCCTTTTTCTTATGGACTCCAACTGTTCTTGGGTTCGCCCTATTGCTGTTCCTTTGAGTTCTTCCATTAGTTCTACTTGTTTTCTGTATATTCGGTGCAACTCTTCGAGCTATCAACAGAAATAAATCATTTTGTCAAATGGGTTTCTCATTTCTTTGTATTTCTAGTCATGAAATACGTAAACTAACACGCAGATACACAATTATGAGATGTTGCAATGATTGTACCTGATAATGGAACACAGATTCCTGATCGGCCATGGTCAATCTTACGGCTTCCATCCAATGCTTTGCAGACCAGTTCACGCCATATCGTGTAGCCGCTTCACGATAGTTCTGTGGACCGTTACATGTTTTCTGATAAAAACAACCTTCAAAATTAAGCTAACATTCCTGATATTTCGGTTCTTTTACCAAGTAAAGCCCAAAGTATAGAAATAAACACCCTTCAAATACTAATTAAGCTAAAATTTAACTACTAACTAAATTGTATCAATAATCATTAGTTAAACCAAACGTTAAATCATGATCCACTAGAGCCTACACATCAATATTTTTGTATGATCATATGTTACGACTTAAACGTAATGATATACATGCACAAGGTTCGAAGAAACCAAAGGTCATGCAACACTATCTTTCTTTTTTCTGGGGGTGTCATAGCCAGCTTGTGCACGCCTCGTCTGATCCATGGGGCCCTGAAAATAACAGTCAAGAAAACCCCCAGTGGTCCTAAGGAGGCCCCCTGGCAACTTATGGAAGGGGGCGCCAAGGTCTAGTCTAACTTGTTAAGGGATGGTTTAAACTTCAACTCTCTAGTGCATCTTATGGTGTAGCGAATTTCCAGGACTTTGCTCGTACTGGTGTCTGTAGGTCAACGATTCATTGACTACGTGCAACTTACATGTGTGTTTGTACTTTAAAGTTACGTTGAACTATAATCATGAAAAGGGCGTAAAAAGACAAAACAATAACGGCTACTGCGATGAACTGATCATAAACAGCATTCATAAGTTCACATTGAATGCAGTAAATACAACCTTCCAAATTAATGCAATGATCGCAGGATGTCTACATTACGCTATGCCAACTACGGTCATGCGGATTTTGAGCAATGGTAGATTTGCAGCCAAGAAAATGACCCCCTTTTACCTGACTAACATGTTTTCTCAAGAAACTATCAATTGAAAAAAATGAAGATATCAAGAAGATTTAATGCCACACACACACACACACACACATATATATATATATATATATGTATATGTATATACAGAATTTACCATAATTTGATGAAACATAGAATGATACATCATATACACAACATTTAGAAAGACCAAGTACAAAGATCAATTA